AAGTTTCCTTTGTAGTTCTTAATAAATTAAACACATAGTCATATGATTATCTTGCATCTGTCTCTGGGACTCTTGACAACTTTGCAACACTCCCATGAGCCAAGTTCCTTCTCAACGCCTATGAAGCTGAAGACCAACACTGAGATGGCACTAAATTAATCAAAGTAAAATTGTCATCGAAAACTTTTGGAGACAACACATTGTCTTCCTCTTCTAGCTAGACTTTCCACATTTTTTTTTTTGACTCTTAAAACTTAGTTTTCTGTTACTATAGTTTTATTTGGTATCTCTGCTATGAAATGAAGTTTAGCATGAAGTCTCCTGCTCTGCTCTGTGGAAGAGATAAAATACATTTTCAAAAATTGAGGACATTAAATATTATTTCTTCTTTAAATGCTTTCCTGCAACAGTGATATATGTTTTCCCTAGCTAATATATATAATAATCAAGAGAATGTAGTGTATTATTTTAATTAACCTTTCTGATAGTTTTGCACTTTTGCCATAATACATACAAATTCCATAAAGCCATGGTTGTTTTGTAATTGCCCCACCATCATATTGATAACTGATATGTTTTGTCTTTAACCACATATATTATGTAACATCATTGTATTATATTAATGTGCCCTCATTTGTAATTATTCTAATTACTATTTTATTCTCATATCATTAATATAAATTAAATGGGAATATAAAATGTATTGTTAATTTGCCATGTGTTTTAAAAATTTAACTATATTCTTTTTTCTTTTTCTCTTCTACTCTTACTAGGATTAATATTTTAAAGAATATAGAAACTACTTCTCTTTATTTTGGGATAAAATCTGATCCGATAGTTGTACTTGGCAGTGAAAAAGAATGAAATATTTATGAAGTGCTATAAAATAGGACATTTTCTTTTCTACTCAGTCCCTGAGATAATTTTACAACATCCAATATAAAAACATCCAACATAAAATAAATTTACAATTAGCTGTTCTGACATAATTAAGAAATATTACCTACTTTCTTCCAATTCTCATATTAACATGTATTTTTAAAGGTAATGTTAAGTAATTGTGTAGATAAGATGCTTGTGTTACATCTATCTAAAGGTCTTTATTGTGGGGGGAAGGTAACAGATCTGGAAAGTAGGGTTGATGGGGGTCTGTAATTTCAAATGCTTGTTATATTCTTCATCAGTGTCTTTTAGTCACTGCTAGCAGTTGACACCAATTCCTATTTATTACTGTTCAAACCATAACTGAATGAGAAATCATGGTCACAAAATAGTAATGTAGAATTCTAAAAGTAACAGAATGGTCTATTTTTAGTTTATCTACAAGCAAGTTTGTTTTACATAAATGGCTTTTTTACAAATTTGAAATGTGAATATATTTTATTTTTTTTCCCAGTGAGTACACAATACACAATTCTTTGACAATACTATTGACCAATTTTATGCCAATTTCTTTGCTGATCTAACAACATCAAATGAAACACATTAAGATTTTGGACGCTGTTTGGTGACTTAAACAAACTACAGTTTAAAAAAATCCATCTATAAAAACAAAGTATAAAAAGTCTACCACGGCCACAAAAATCCCTTTTCTTGCAACACTTTAAAGTCCCAATAAATGCTTTTGAAATTATGAGACTAAAAAAAATTAGTAAATTGAACGTTGTTTTAAAAAATGTATGGTGTTTCATTTGAAGTACACATTATTGAGAAGCAAAACAAAAGTAACTTCACCTCTAATATAATGTGGAAAGACATGTTGCTTTACACCAATTCTTGTCATGTATTCTATGAACAACATACAGAAGTAAATGAACAAATTAGTGCATGTTATGGTTCTGCATATCTTTAATACCAGTGCACGATCACTTTCTGGTGGTGAAGATAAACCACAATTTAGAGCTCATTGGTATTGTTATCATTATATTGGACAATTACATAAATTTATTGAATAGAAATTGGGAGGTGTTCCACCAAAGCACATACAAACTTTTGACTCAAATCCCACTGAAAATAAAATCCCAGAATTAAACTGTGACATAGAACGCCATTAAATCGGTTTTGTTTCTCAAAGCAAGTAAATTTGCAATGGTTTTACTCCCCTTGATTATATGGTATTTTACATGTTGGTTTCTATATTCTCCCTTGAACTGGATTAAAATCTTGTGACAAAATCAATTGTTTACATACTCCTGTACTCTCCCACTTTACTTTAAAAATCACATGGTAAATATTTGGACAAGGACTAGGGCACTCCACCTGCATACACTGGCATACCTGAGTTTGGGCACTGATGCATCTATTTTCCCAAAGGAGACTTTGCCTGTTATGAATGCAGCTGTGCTTGTGTTGGGCATTACTGCATAGCAGCATTGCCTATGAGTGCAAGATAAGATTATATTCTCTCCCACTTAGATTTCCTTTCAATGGCTTATGCAGGCCTCTGTTTAGATGCAGAAGAGTGAGCTCAATGAATTTCTAATCCCATTAATTAGTTACAAAATGATAAACTATGGTGGCTTTCATACATGTTTATATTCTTCTGCTGACATTCTGACTTATACTGATTAGCAGCTTTTTATGCATAGCAAGTTGATGAAGGTTTTTGGTTTTTGATAGTGTTTCTGAAATCATTTGTATAGTCAGAGCATGTTATCTTGCCCTCTGTTAATTTGAGGGTGATATTTTGGGTGTGTGATTTGACCAATCAATTTATTTAAAACTCGATTTAACAGGCAACATGGACTATTCATTCTATAAGAACATTCCAAGTGACCACAAGGTCTGCTTAGACATAACCTAACAAAGCAATGTCAATCAGGAAGGTATGATACTATGTCCCACATTATTCCAAAGGTCCTCTGCATACACATACTTCATTTTTGCAAGTCTTGGTTTATTTGTCATCTACATCTACCAGTTACTAGGGGTCCGAGGCTACGTATAATATGTGTAATGAGCCAAAGTTTTAGACTAAATTGGGTGATAGAGGAGCTAAAGAGAGAACACAAATGAATAAAACCTCTTAGAAATTTATTTGCCTTTAAATAGAAAGAGGTGAAGTAGGAAACTGCATAAATAAAAATTTAAATTCCTCACACCTTAGAGTTGTGAATCAGTATGTATTCATTCTTTGCAGAAACTTTTCACTTCCCCAGCTTCTTTCTCCCAGAGAAACCAAACTGCATTAAAATTCAGGCACTGATGGTAGAAAGTTGATAAAGGGTTGAAAAACTATGTCCCAGAATTCTTGTTCTCTTCAGTGATGAAACAAACTACATGGCACCAAGAAGTTGTTGGAGCCCATAAAGAACATTCCATTCTATACTTGCCTGTGCTGATGCAGTCTCAGGGAATAACATAGATGGAAACATTTAATTATGTCATCCCTTTGCTATAACAACATGACATAAATTGGTGACTGAGCCAATAATTCATGGAGTGTGAATTGTCATTCAAAAGGGTCCCATATTTTAGAGCTGATCCTGATTATGACACTGAATATTTTTAGAAGTGCCAACTATTGAATACATTATCGGAAAAATATGAGAAAGCATAGACAGAAATAGAATTTAAGATTGTGTAGGAAGCACATGGGAAAATGTCACAAGTGGGAATCTCAGGAAGGTACTTTTCTACTTGACTGACTATACATGTACAGTAGCTAACATATATTTCAAAGTCACATTTATTTTGAGCATACATGACTGATGTTCAGGAACTTCTTTTTCTCAAAGTCGTGAAAACAAATGAGGCAGGACACTGTTATTAATGTCCACTTACAAGGTTTGGTTTTATTTAAAAAGTGTATAAACATGCATTTTTCTCCTTTTTAATTTTTCTTTTCAATTTACTCATTCAAAATGGGTCAAACCTATTTTAGCTGGTAGCCAATTTCTGAGAATGTACCATAAAATATTTATTCCAATAAATCTACTTACTGTGAACTGAACATACTCTGAGCACTGCTTTTTAAGCACTTACAATTTGGCTATACATCTGGTGGCATCAACTTCACTTCTTAATCAAGTAAAACACAAAATTGTATATAGACTGCATTTTTTTAAAAGTAATGAATTTAAGTGATGCAGCTCTATCCTCTAGTGTGTACTGTACATGTATTAGAAAGATGAAACAAGATATTGCAATAGAGTTTATATTTGGAATCAGCCAGAGTATGCCCTAATAAAAATTGCTTCTTTAACTATTTGCTAGATATTCTAGAGTTCGTTTTGTTAGTTTCCTTGGGGAACTTCATATTATATTCTGACTTAATGAATCAGAGACATTAATTATGATAATTCAGAAAATGCTTCTTTAAAAATTGTAATATAAATACAGCTCTTGTGAAACACTTTAATTTCCTTTTGTTTCTTGCAATTCTCAGATGGGTCAATTACAATGACAGGTAAAGTTCATTCTAAATAAAACTTTAATTTCTTTTTTTTTTAGCAAGTTTAGTACAACTTTGCTACCTGTATATTTTAACGCATATTCAGTCTTAATACTTAAGCTTCCTTCTTTTGACCCCCTCTTTTGTCTATAGTAAAAGCCACCTTTTTGCTTTTTTTTTTTTTATTGACTCAGTCCCTGATGTTCAAAGAAGACTTTGCCAACACCATTGTTCCTTTGCATCTTCCTATTTCTACACCCCAACTGAAAACCATCTAACATGATTGGTTACAACCAGCATTATCCAACCTAGCTTACAGTACAGAAACTCCCTTCACATTCAGTCTTTTTCTTCATGTCATGAGGAGTAGAGATTTGTGCTTATCACCAAATAAAATTGCAGTGCAAAATTTAAACATAAAAGTTACACAATTAAAAGTTAATATATGGCACCACAGCCTATTAATTCACATATAGTACAACAGACCAATAAGAACAGACAATAATATGAACAGAGCTAAAAAGAGTGAGCTTGCATAGCAATGCAAAAGAAATTATATACAGAGGAAAATCCTTTTCTTCCTGGAGGGCGAGTTTTGTTTTCTTTCTTTTTTATATACTTCTGACAAGAAAGAGTTAAGGTGGGTGGTGTACTTAAGAGAAGAACACAAGTAAAATATCTGTGGGATATGTGTGGCTGTGTGTCTTTACATTGCATTTACAGTTCTTTTAATAGTACATAAATAAAGAAATTGTTCATTGCACTCTTTAGTGTCATCACTTCCATGAGTTCGGACCTGATGGTCCTTCAGAGCAGCTTTGTATGTCTCCTCTCAGTTACTCTAAAAAAAGATTTAAAAAAAAATCAGAAATAAAGTTGACATTTAAATTATTTAAGTTTAGTGTTCTTCTATCCCAAACAGCACAACAAAAAGTAAAGCAACCAGATAATAAGTGAAAATAAGATCATCAGAAAGATTTTGTGAGTTTGCGAATTTAAGTAATTTTACTTGGAGATGAACAGAAAAAAAACACTATAGCATTCAGAAATTTAAAATCCAAGTAGAGTTATTTTTCACCCCTTGTGAATCTATCAGTGTTTCAAAATAAATGTTAAAGAAAAATCTAGGAAGCTATCAATCCAATTAAAATTATAAACTAATCTTAATAATAATTAGATTAGCAAAAGCCAACAATGATGACAACTGAGATCAACAAAGAATTTTACAGTTTTGAAATTATTTTTTCTTTTCATCATTTCATGGAATTCTCCAGTCTGTGATGTGCTGATGATGGTAATGCTACTTTTTAGATGAGCAAATAGAGAGATTAGGAAGGTAGTTTACTTTCTCATGTTCCATAACCAGTTAAGTGGTTGAGAATATTACAACCCAGGGCTATTTTCTCAGCAGTGCTTTTAAACAGAATTCGAAGAAGCAATTGAAAATATTCAGCAAATAATTTAAACAATGAAAAACTGAATTGATAACTTTCCTGATGAAATTAATGCAAGGAGCACAATAGTTTTTACTGTGACATTAACTTTCTCTATTACCTAGTAGTTTATATTTAGAAAATAGATTGGTTATACTAACAAC